ATATACACTGGGGCGTAATAAAGTACTGAGAAAGTAGAGTCTAAGTCAACGTGATCACATCCTTTCTGGGCGTCAAACCAATACCTTTACCACTAGACCATCACATTAACACTATCATAATACCATCACTATTTATGATATTATACTCTACAACCTTATATATTTACCTGCTGCAAGTGTTACAAAAGAAGGCGTTTCATACCAATTCATAGCGGGAGCTTGGGTTTGCTCGGTTGAAGGCTCATTCCCCTCTCTCAAAAAGACGCATCCATCTACATGTAAACAAAAGATGACGGCAATGTTTTAGCTTGGCAAATCATTATCATAATGAAAACCTCAGCTATGCCCAAAGCACGGACACTAATAAGGATTCCGTAAAAAAATATTAGAAACCTGTCGCCATGGTATTAGGTATTATGATGTTTTGTTTAACATAAAACTCCAATGGGTTATTGTAAATAGAAAGACAAAAGGGCTATTTCTGGATCAAAGATTGTTTCAATGTTTATTTTCGAAGCTTATTTTTAGATTTCGAATTTGGGCCTGTTCACACTAAGTCAGAATTAAGCATAGAAATCATTAAAAAAAAAGGCATCGAAAACTTTTTCACGTTCATGCGTTTCCGCTTCTGGTATTATATTTTCCACAATTCACAACTCAAGCGATTGGTGTTGTCCAAATCAGTCCTGTGAACCTGTTTTTACTGGACATGGTGTCTATTGTTATGTCTAACAGGTGCCAAATGCTGGGCTTGATCGAAATGACTTTTTTATCTCTTTTTGTCAATAGCCAAGTGAAATTACGAGAGAAAATTCAAAAAGCAAAACAACAAGACAAATTCAACGTAAAAACATTTCATTATGAAGACCTAATGGTGTCCCAAAGTTTCAATTGTTCTTGATTTATGGATTACCTTAGTTTTTAACAGCAACATGGTATATTCTTATTAGTTAAAACATGTCTGAAGTGCTATAAATCTCAACAGGCTTGATCTGAACAAAGTTTTGCATTGAGCATGAATAAGGAACTAGAAAGCTTTTTCCTCCTAATATATATTTACCTTGTCCAAAACCAAGATCCAGAATGGATATGAAAACAAGCGTTGATAGAATTAAAGGATTCATTGCTAATCGACTTATTGGCACAATGTTTACAAGTAAGAGAGTCACATAAGAAATAATCACAGCATCCTATGATGGCAGTCTGAATCAAGTCATGAATAGCATCTACAATGACGTTGGTGAAAAGCCATGGCTATTGTTTAGATTTCCATATACGGTATTGAGAGAGCTTCATGGTTGTCCAGTCACTAACAAAGGTGTTATTGTGGCGAAAGTGTATTTCAGCCAAGACACCTGTAGATATCTGGTGGTTTTCATGAAACCGTTATATACTCTTAATCGTACTACATTTTAATACTCTTACTTTTATACGCTTATCGGTGTATCAACGTTGTTGCATGTCCACTATTACACGTTGGTTAACTGGTTAATGAAAACTACGCTGCCACCCAGTTAGGGTTTGGTGGTATCTTAAAAGAGGGAAATAAGCTGTCGTCATTTTTTCCCCTTGAATTAATCGCGAGAATCCAGTATATGATATGCTCACACCAGATATCGAAATGTCTACAAAATTTCGTCAAAGCTCTTGAATATATTTTAACAAATAAACCAAGATTATATCACCTAAAATCACTTTTCCATTAAAGTACATAATATTAAATGATCGAAATATTGGGTTTTCTTCTATGTTCATTTTTTGAAATAGCACTAGGCGATGAGAAAGGTATACCAGGTATAGCAGGTGTCTACCAGTTCTCGACCAGGTATTACCACTACATTCAT